AAGAATTGCACATATAATTACTTTATTCTCTAGTTTCTTGTTTTGGGCTACACTCGTGAATTCCTAAGTAAGAATTAATGAGCCCGGTTATCCTGAAAAAAGCGGAGGGAACTAGTTTTTTCTAGAAGAGACAGCGTTTATAACGAGCTCGTAAATAACCAGTACAAAGGAGCGACCCTTGGTCTAGACGCAAGGGCAAGTATTATCATTGGAGCTGAAACTGAACCCAGCTTCAACAACGACACAAGCATCTGTCAGAACAACACCCTGTATAAAAGATTTTAAAAGTCGATGACCCTGCAGAAACGCCGTAAGCGTAGAAGCGTAGCACTGTATATCTGCTCAGAAGAACTGCAAGCTGCAACAGCTATGAATTTTAGATCAACTGAATAGGCTGAGCCGTCCGACAAATGGATGAAGACAAAGGGCGTGGATAGTAGTACCCTACTTTGATTTCAGCTGTGTAGTAATGCCGTAGTAAGGCATTTGAGCAGCACGGTGCTTCTTGACAATTTTCGGGATATTTGCGCTTTGGAATAAGCTGGTGAAATGTGTGATAATAGTTGACGATATGTTTTGTAGCAATACAAATAAACGAAATTGTTTTCCCACTCCTTCAGATTTTGAGAACGCAATTTATGATTTTTTTTATATTCTTACAAAGTTGCTTCTTTTAGTATCATTTAATTTTATGAAGCTCTCGCAATATTTTAACCCACTTGTGAATAGTTCGCTTCACATTTTTATACCACTTGAATATGAACGATGCTGGTGTGTCGATAGAACCGACAAACAATTTGAACGTTTTTCTTTCGGACAAGTTCTTTTTCTTCCCCTTAAACAATTTAATATTGGGGTCTTTCATTTGTTGCTGCGTTGACCATTTTTTCGAGATTGCTCCCGCAAAGGTTACGATTTTTCTCGTAATACTTCGCTATAGTGCGTATTTACAAGAATGGGCTCCAAATTGCTTGTGGGAATGTTTTTTGTTGAAAAAAATTGAAAGCAGTGGACTGAAATTTGATAAATTTTTCTCTTGTTTCTTTCTAAATTTTATGCAAGTTCATTAGTATCGTACTTGCTTATCGACGAATATTTTCTGATTTTCGATTTTTCTTTTAAAGTTTTGGAGGCTTATCCAGAAATTGCCAATATTTTCTTTTTTTAATTCTAACACTGATTAGCAATTGCCTTCAAGCGGTGACGATAAAAATGAAGTACAGTATCATAGTAGAATATTACTCTCAGAAATAAATTTGGTGCATGAAATATATTCGATTCTTCTAGAGACTTGTTTCAGATTATTTTGAATCTGTGCTCATTTAGAAAATGTATAGAATTAAAATTTTGAACTAAAGTTTTCAAACCAAAAATGTCGCTCATTACTGCCATCTCCTGTGTAAAATTAAAGTTTTTTATCTTAATTGAGTGCTTAATTATGACACCTCATAAGTTTTCTTTTTTTGTGTTATGTGGGCATGGAAGTGTTTCCGTACGCCATTTACGAAAGCTTCTATCCTTTTATCCAATTAACACGTGCACCAAGCTTCAATACAGCATCTAATTTTTTTACTCAATTTGCTGGCAGACAAGCGGACGAACAGACAGAAAATCGGAATTTAACTTGTTTCGTCATACTTATTAGTTGTAGACTGTGGGTATACATTGAGTCAAAGAAAAAAATTATTTTGGAAAGTTGGTAGTTGCCTTTAACTACTGCGAAGTGGTGATTCAGTTTTATTAAAAACACGAGCCGAACTCGAATGTTACAAAGCCTTCAAAGATGGTCTAGAGATCGTTGAAGACATGGCTCGCTCTCGGCCACCTTCAACTGATAAAAATATTAAAAACAAAACTAACATCTTTAGTAACTCATTGGTTCTACACAGCAGTTGTTAGGCCGATTATGACATACATTATGTTGGTATGGTGATCAGTAAAGGAAGAGAAATATGCTATAGGTGTATGAAAAGCATTGTAAGAGCAATTAGTACAGTATTCTATAAGCATTCTAACCCAATACCACAGATGTTCGAAATCCTATAAAATTCAAATTAAATTCGGCCTCGGATCACAGGGCTAAGCATATATACGGATGAGTTCAAACTTGATATTCTACAGGGTGGTGGTGTCAAAATTAGATGTTAAAATTGCCTTCCATCAACCCAGTAGATAAAGTTAATGGCATTAAGTACAAAGGTACCGTGTCAGATCATTGGTTATTTATTATTATCTCTGATTCTGAGGCATGTCTTTAACTTTTAGATTAGTTAATGATTTATCATCTGCCTCTCTGTCAAAATCACTAATATAGGGTTTCTTATAACTAAACTATTTAGCGACAACGATTGTTGGGAGATAGCAGTGTATGTATCCGTCTCATCTTCGAACCTTAAGAGCTCAACATAAAAAATATAAAATTTGGTTTCTTGTTTTCGAATTATCTCTTCCTGTTCACTTACTTTAATTTGCTCTTCATATATTCCGCTTCACTAAGCCTCGTCCTTACATAACTCATTCCAACAATTTGTAATTTAAGAACCCGAATGAAAAAAAAAGATATTGAATTGAAAGTTTGGTTTTTCGTACTTAAGCCTGATCTTAAATCCGCCACTATGTCTACCAGACTACTGTAGTGGTAAAGATCGGAGCAATTATAGAAAGTTTTCTTGTTCTGACAAAACGCTCAAAACAAGGAATATATTTATATATTCAGATAACCAAGCGTCGTTGAAATCACAAAGTCTCTTAGGGCAACAAAGATAATGAAAGAACGCCTTTAACTCTAAGTGGATTTGACATCCTATTTCACAATAGCTTGCTATGGGTTCCAGGCTATAATTATATTCCTGGTAAGTACAATAAGTCTCCTGATAGTAGAAATTTATTTAAATATTTTTGTCAATGGTAGTGGAGTCAGTCCTTAATTTGCTCAACAAGGAGGCTAACGTGGCACTAATAAAATATGAGATACACATGACGGCAACTAAAATTAAAATACAATGACATTGGAACTTTAGTATGAGTGCTACTAGGTTACAGTCTATTTTGTAGAGCCATCAAATTGAATACCCCCTACAATGACTATTGAAAAAGCTTTATATAAAAAAATAATCGCAACTACCGGTCGAAGACTTCTTGAAGATATTTCGGAAAGTTTTTATATTGATTAACATTATCAGAAGCATGGTCTAGTTCAGAGAGGACATCCAGTGTTTCGTAATAGGCGGTCTTATACCCTGGGTTCGTCGAAAGATAGGTTATAATTAGCAGTTCAGATGACATTATATAGTTCGACCAATATAATTCTGGCCAAAATTGCAAAGCATCCAAGAATCATGCTTTTTGTATTTATTAAGTTTTCCCACATTTAAATATTATTAAAAATTATAGTATTAATTAAAATTCGATTATATCTATGTACTTAGGTATATTATCTTCCAGACATTTTTTTTAATGCTTTCGAAACATGCATTTCACAGGTTTTAGTAACTTGTTATTATTTATGAAATCATTCCCCTAAAAAATTTAATTGAAGTGTGTTTATAAAAAGAATAATTGTTTATTATAATTAATTATTCACCTGGTTAGTTCAACAGTAACCACTCCTTTGGGCTGGATATTTATACTCTTTCCCATGAACTTTATTTTTGGGTTAATCGATCCATAGAACTTGTAGTCAGAAGATTCGGCATGAAAAGCAGAAATCGGTGGGTGATGTGATACTTGTTCGCATAAAATTTTGAAATCATTCCTTCGCAGTTCATACGTTTCTCCCAAAAGTGGATTAAATGGTTTTCCAACACGTTCCCAGTTTGATGCTAATGCCGACACAGCGAAAGCTATGTATATGTAAGAAATATTGAAACTACATGTTAAACTTTATTTATTTAATGTAATATGTAATAATTGTCTTTCCCAGCTACTTTTTTTTATTTCTCTGAATTACAGCGCAGTCTATTTTTAATTAACAAAGAATAATAATTACTGTTACAAAAAATCTACCGGTTACACCCGAATTTAATATTATTTACTTATTATACCCTAAACAGAGTATATTATTTGATACGAAGTTTGTAACACCCACAAGGAAACTTCGGATACCCTATAAAATATAAACATTAATTATATTTGAAATTGGCACACTTCGTTTTCTCCCCAAGAAGCTGCTCAATTTTTGGAGCTTGCAAATATCGGACCAGTATAGAATGTTGATTGTTTTGTCAGAAAAAAGTAAAAAAAAAAAAAAATTAGTTGAATAAACGCATAGCATCTTTTTCTTGACATTCTTCACTCGTATTTCTATTTCCCCCTTCGGCAATAACCTGTTCATTCGACTGATATTTATTTCTTCGGATTTACCTTTTGAAGTGTGGAAACAAAAATTTATTTATGTGGGGTTCGTTACCCTCTTCTGTCACCAACAGAGAACGTATATTTATAGAGAAGGTTCACGATGTCAAAAATTTAGGGATATTTCAATTTTGGGATATTTACAGTTTTGGATGAGTGTGTTTCACCACAGAAAATTATTAGCGCGTTTCGCCACTTTACATCAGGCAGAGAACGTATATATATATATGAGTATAGAGAAGGTGCAGGTTCGACTGCGAACATTTGTTAGATTTATGGTAGGGAATTCACCTCATAACGACAGAAGTCACGCTGTTAAATTTTAACGGTTCTCCACATATTCAACTCAGAATATGAAGAGAAATAAATATATGTATTTACGGCATATGATGAAATGGCATATATGCCGAAGCCAGAGAATATGAAGAGACATAAAAATATGTATGCATGCCCATGATAATACTCCGTTTTGCTTGTTTATATTTTGTTTTACTGTTGACAGCGAACATTTGTACAAAACACACCTCTCACACAGAGAATATAAAGCCATTTTTTTATGTTTTCTGTCTCACATACCCAACAATATGAAAAGATATGAATAT